CCACCACCACCACCACCACCACCCCCCTCCTCCAGGTTTCATGTCCACGGCCCAGCGGGCCCACTGTGCCTGGCGTGGCGTGGCGTGGCGTGGCGTGGCGTGGCGTGGCGTGGCTGCCGCGGCCACTTGGTCGCCACCAAAACCGGGTTGACCAGAAGATGCCTGGAGTTCCGGGCTGTGAGAAAATTATTATAGAGGACAAGTCAGGAGTGGCATCCACTTCCTAAGCAACATGCCTCTGGAAACTCTATGAACTTTGATAATGTTGGTAGTTACAGAAAGGCTTCAGGCCTTTTGTTCTTAGGGCCTCTATGAGTCATGCTGGACTTGAAGGCAGTCAACAACAACAACAGTGTTAGAAGGCGTCAGAAAAACATAATGGAGTTTGATTAATGTAGTTAGTAGTTAAACAAATCTTTCATATGATAAAGTTTATTGCCTTCTTGACCCCTTGCCCTTCCCACTCCCCACCCCACCAAGAGTGCATACAACAACTGATGAAGTCCAAATAAGATACGTAATTTATTTAATAGTGTATTTCCAGTGTCAATTTCTTGGGTTTGATCATTGCACTATTGTTAGGAATATGCCATTACTGGGAAAAACATTGTCCAACAATACTTTTTATAGTATAACTTCCTCTTTTTGCAGAATAAATTTAACCTGGCTTAAAGAAAAATCCACTCACTGCTCTCCTGTTGATTTGAACTCGTGATGACCCTTCACTGGGTTTGGGAGGCTGTAAATTCGAATGGTAGCAGATTGCCTCTTTTTTCTTCCATGGAGCACAAACTATCACCTTTTTGGTTAACAGCCCTGCAGGTAACCCACTTGAATTGGAGCCAACTGTAGTTGACAAGCAGCTTTTCAGAGGTGTTAAGTCACATAGGAGATTACCTAGCCTTCTGCAGAGGAGCTGGTAGATTTTAACCACATGCCTTTGGGGTTACAGCTCAGCTTTTTAACCACTAGGACACCAGAACTATCACTCTTTTAATCTGTTTTACAGTGATCTAAATAATGTGGACTCTTATCTGTCTCTCCCGTCCTCATTGCAGACTCTTAAATGTGCCTTGCTTCCTCCTTATTACAGGGCCTTAGTGCATGCCATATATTAATTTCTTCTAGAATCGCCATTTTTATCTTTTTGTCTTGCTTACTTCTCCTTCTTAAGTTTTCAGCTTAGATGTGGCTTACCTGGGTAAACCTTCAACTTCCAAGTCAAAATCAAGGTTTTTTTTTTTTGTCACGCAGACTGTGTTCTTTTCTATTAGAACAGTAATTTCAGGTTACGCTCATTGTTGTTCATTGGTATGATTATTTGATTCTCTCCTGTATTGGACTGCAAGCATACAGACTTTTCTTACCATTGTATTTTTAGTGACCATTATGTGACCTGAATATTTGTGAAATGAATCACAACATCCAAAACCGGTTTAGCATGTTAAAAATTTTTGGGTTTGTAATTTAGATTGGCTTTTAAATTGGTGGTTTTAAGAAAGTTTTCCTATGTTTTGTAATCCCTTATTTTCTATTAGAATCTGCCATCTAGTGCCACTTTTGCTATAGTTGACTTTTCTAAAACCTGAGACAAGGTGGTAATTGTTGTTGTTATGTGCCATCGAGTTGCCTGCGACTCATAGTGACCCTATGTACAACAGCCCTAAACTCTGCCCTATCCTGTGCCAATCTCACCATCTCTGACACACCCACCCCCATTACCCCAGTAACTGAATCAATCCATCTCATCGAGGGCCTTCCTCTCCTGCGCTGTCCCTCCACTCTCCCAAGCATGACGGCCCTCTCCAAGGATGTTGCAAGACAGTAATTAGTTGTCTTATAATTTGACTAGGGAAATGAGCAATTAAAAGTATTTATCAAATTGAAATATATTTTAAGTATTCCATTTATGTTTATAGGCGTGACTCACATACTGTAAGGGCAGAGGGAAGGGTTTCAGAAGCCACTGTATATTTCATCTTGAATGTAATAGTCTGGAACATAGACATCAATATAATGAACATTTGTGTGATAGAAATTAGTATTTGCTGTTTGAAATACATTTAATAATCAGTTATGCTGTTAACATTATTTCTCAATTGTAGGCATATGGAAATGCACAGACGGTTTGCATGTTAATTATTCTTATAGCTTGTCTAATTGCAAGCCTAAAATAAGCGTACCTTCGGAAAGATGTAGTATTACATTTTCCTTTTTTTACAGTAAACCATAATTAAAGGAAAATGATGGAAGAGAGTGGAATAGAGACGACACCACCTGGCACTCCTCCTCCTAATCCTGCAGGACTGGCTCCTACGGCGATGTCCTCTACACCAGTTCCATTAGGTACTTGTAGTTGTCTGGCATCTCATGTACCCTGTGGATATGTAAATACTATTGTATTTCTTCAGAATCAATTAAAAAGTAATCTAGAATAGTTTTTCTAATCTTAATCAAGATAAAAAAGGTGGCTTTTTTTTTTAATCGCATAAACCCAAAGTAAATATATTTTCTTTTAGGTAGACTTCTTCTTTATCCAGATTATAAGATTATAAATTCTCTTTGTTGTGATAATAGAAAACATTGGTTAGATTTTTCTCAAGATGTGTCTCAGCAGGGACCGTAAAAAGGCTTTGTGATTAGAAGTATATTTTTATGAGTGCAAATATAATGAAAAAAATGAGCAAAGTTCTGTTTATGAACATTGTTAGACTATAGCTGCTGCTTACACTTAAAATGATAAATGAAAGTCATTTGTACTCAGTGATATTTGTTGTGTCGTTTGAGTTATATATTTAGAAAATAGTTTTTTTTGGGATATGACCTGTTAAGATTGATAATTTTGCAAGAAGAAAGTTAGGAGATCATAACAAAACTAAATTAAAATGGAAAAGTATTTCTAATTTTTTTCCTTTTTCTTTACCTGCTTTTTTCTAGTTTCCACCAGTTCTTTCTCTTCTCCAAATGTGTCCTCCATACAGTCCTTGCCCCCCCATGTGTACTCTACTCCTCAGCCATCGCTTCCTCCTGCAACACCTTCAGCACCTTTACCATTGGTGCCTCCTTCACCAGTTCCTTCAGTTCCACCTCATGCTGCGTCTATGCCACTTCCTGTTCCTCCATCAACTACTGCTGTCTTCAGTAGTCCTTCTTTATCCCACTTCCCATCCACAACTTCTTCCTCAAGTGCTCCCTCTTCAAGTCCACCTACTTCAGGATTTTCTGTTGGTTCTACTTATGACATTACAAGAGGCCACGCAGGAAGAGCACCCCAGACACCCCTGATGCCATCATTTTCTGCACCTGCTGTAACAGGTAATCCTCTCTTATTAATTCCTGTAAGTTAAAGATTATAGTTAATTTTTATGACTGCTTTACTGAGATACAATTTACTCATATAAACGGAATATTCATGTAAAGAGAAAGACGTAACAGTGGCGTCTAGTATATTCACAGTTTCACTGCAGATGATATTAGAACTATTCATCATCCCAGAAAGAAACCCTGTACTTACTAGCAGAAGCTGTTGGTGGCATAGTCTGTAGGGAGTTGTACTCCTATCCCAGAGGCCACACCTAAACGGAGATTTGACTCCACTAGTGGATGCTTGGGAGAAAGATGGCAGCCTCCTCCCATGGAATTTACAGCCTTGTAAACCCAGTGCAGGGTCAGCTATGAGTCACTTCCAACTCAGTGACTTTGTGTTTAGTAACTTATTTGCAGTATTTCTCCCTTGCCTTCAAGCTTTGTGTATACTCTCCAAGTCTATAAACTAGAAACCAGACCTTTTTCCTTCTGGTTAATTGTGACTCATAGTAAAGCTGTAGCACAGAGTAGAGTTTCCCCATAGAATTTCCAAGGCTGTGATGTTTATGAAAGCAGACTACCATATCTTGTCTTATGGAGTGGTTGGTGAGATTAAACACTATCAACTGGACACTCCCACTGTGCCACCAGGACTCTTAACTCTTTCATTGTCACTGAGTTGGAACCAACTCATAGGTGACATTACATTGGGTTTCTAAGGCTGGATATTGCGTGGGAGGATATTGCCCATCTGATAGATGTTGCCTCTGGGTTAGCAGCGTACCTCTACGGTCTCGGCCTCCAGAATTCTATTTAAGATGTTTCACATGAGTGGAATCAGACAGTACTCACTGTGTGGAGTTTCTTTCACCTGCTATGTCTTCAAAGTTTATTTATTTTGTGGAATGTGTCTATACTTCATTTTCTTTGTGTGAATTATCTTATGCGTTATATGGATATACTACATTTTTCTTATTACTTAGAGGATGTTTTTTGTTTATTATTAATAATGTTGCTCTGTTATGCATCAGAGAGTTGGCCAATGACCAAGGAGGATAGAAGGAGAATTGATGCCTTTGAGCTGTGGTGCTGGAGAAGAGTATTGAGAATACCATGGACTGCTAGGAAAACAAACAGATTTGTCCTGGAAAGGGTTAAACCGGGTGGCTCCTTGGAGGCAAGGATTCTGAGGCTCTGTCTAACTTACTTTGGACATGTAGTGAGGAGAGACCTGTCCTTAGAGAGGGACATCGTGCTTGGGAGGGTGGAGGGACGGCGCAGGAGAGGAAGGCCCTCTATGAGGTGGATTGATTCAGTGACTGGGATAATTGGGATGGGAGTGTCAGAGACAGTGCGATTGGCACAGGACAGAGCGGAGTTTAGGGCTGTTGTACATAGGGTCGCTATGAGTCACAGGCGACTCGACGGCGCATAGCAACAACACAACAACATGTGTACAACTGTTTGATGCACAAGTTTTAGGTAGACATATGCTTTCATTTCTCTTGAGTATATGCCTGTGAGTGTTGTTGATGGTGGGTGCTATTGAGTCAAGTACGACTCATTGCAACCCTGTGCACGACAGATTGAACCTTTGCCTTCGCCATCATCTCTGACACGCTTGAGCCCATGATTGCAGTCACTCTGTCAATCCATCTTACTGGGGGTTTGCCTCTCTTTCACTGACACTCCACATTTCCAAGCATGATGTGTGTTTCCAAGGAATAGCTTCTCCTTGGAACATGTCCAAAGTATGAGAGATGTGTGAATAGAATTGCTAAATTACATGATAATTCAGTGCTTGAACCTTTTGAAGAACTGTTGGACTTTTTCCAAAGAAGCAACACCATTTTATTTTTCCATTACTAATGTTTGAGGGCTCTAATTTCTTTACATTAATGTATTAGTCTTAATGAATTTCTTTTATTTTGGAGCCATTTAAATTATTAAAATAAAACTAATATACTGTCTTTTAAGCTTTTTGTGGGTTGGTTTTGGGGTTTTTCTTTAAGGCTGTCAGAAAATTTTTGGAATGTGTCCTAACATTACTGTACTTGTCAAGAATATATTAGAGTGAAGTTTGGATCTTTTTAAAAAAAAGTACAGCAAAGAATTTATTGAAAATCTCTTAAATCCACTTTAAATTGTAGCTTAGTATTTCCAAGCAAGGGAGTATGGAGGAGGGATGCTGGCTGCCACTTAGACATAGAAGCCTGGTCCCAGCCCTGTTCCGGGGTGCTGCAGAAGTAAGTGTTTAGTTGTGCACGGCTGAGGGGTTAGGCTGGACTTGACAGATGCTGTGATCCTTCCAGATTCAACTCAGTCAGGGCTCAGCCTCCCTGACCTCCTTACTGGTGGGGTCTTGGAGAAAGGCTGCTGCACAGGCCAACAACTACGAATCAAAGAAGGCTGTCTGGGAGATAGCCAAGAGGCTTTTCCATGCAAGGCCTCAGAGAACTCACCTGGGGCCTCCACCTTTCTCGGCGCCAGGGCCTGGGGTAAGTGTAGATTGATGTAGCAGGCTGTTGGCACGGCCACCACAGAGAAATGCCCTGGCCTTACAACAGCAGGGCCACTTGGACAGCACTCTTTGCCAGGATTATTTCTCTGGTGCATGCACAGGGTCTGGTTCAGCCTCAGCTGAGATTGCCAAGCCAGGGCTAGCCCTTGAAGTCAGCCTTGCAGGTGGGAACAGCTTCACATGAAGTTTCCTAACAAGCAGTTTCGAGCTCCTGGCTCCACTGAAGAACAGCTGCTGCCAGTGAATACCCAAGATGCGCCGGGAGGGTTAGGGCAGGCCTACTTGCCTTTGGCAAGGTATTAGTTAGTCTGGGAGAGGGAGAGATGGCAGAAGAGTGAGGTTAGGCACTTGACTCAATCAAGTAACAGTTTCTGAAGTTAATCGCATGTCCAGCTGTAGTCTTCCATAAGGAACCAATCCAACTAGTGAACCCCAGGGCAGTGTCCAGGTCCAGGGATTAAAGGGAGGCAGTGGCCTGGTCCAAGAGGAAGGAGGAAAAGGCCCACACCCTCAGAATGAGGAGCAGGTACCCCAACAGCCAGAGACACCTGCCTTCTCTGATCTAGTGAGGCATAGGATGCAATCTTCCCGGGTCCAGCATGTGGCACAGTGTGGGGTATCCTCATGTTTAGCACCTGAGCCACCAGAGGAACCATTCATACTACAGAAGCTGTGAAGACTGGAGTCATTAGGAATATAGAGATGTGCAAGGGAAGGTCTTTTGTCAGTTCAGATGCAGTAACACTGGGGGGCCACTCTGCCCCAGCCCCATCCTGTATCCTGTCCTCTCTCATGGAAGGAGATCATTAGAACAGCGATCCAGATTCTGAGGAACCTCCACTTCGTTTAAAATGGCTAACCTTAAACATAGTTTCCCTATAAAATCTCTGATTTCTCTGAAAGTAATAAATATGTAATCACTGCATAACCAAGGTGCAACCATAGAAGAAGAGAGGAGAGGAAACTAGAAGAGCCTCTGCTTTGACTCCTGGAGACAGAGGAGCCAAGAATCACGTGTATGCAGCTACCAGGGCTGCTCGGAGCATGTCATGAGGGCTAGCTGGCTTCTGTATTCTCATCAGGCATGCTTCTACATTGCAGAAGTCTAGGCATTGGGGCAGGGAAGACATGAAGAAGAGACCAGGGAATGAAGGGAGTAAAGACTTCAGGACCCTTCTATCCTTTCCTCCCAGCTGTTTTCTTCCCCCTTCTGCCTCTGCATCAGTCTCTGGGCCACCAGCTAAAATTTTGATGCCAACAGCAGTAAGCAGCCAGTTTGGCAGACCCAGGGCAGGAGGCTGGCAGCAGGTGGATGGGAGGCTGTCTTGTGAAGCAGTTGAGGATGTTGTTACCAAGGGTTTATGTATCTCTACAGGGTGAGTCCTCGCAAATGCTCAGACCAGCCACAGTGCTGCCGTGGAGTCTCCAGGAGAGGCAGGAGCAGGACTTCTAGATTCTCCATGGGGGAATTTTGGGTCATTTTTAAAAAAGCTTTTCTTAAAAAATAATCAGGATTCTTTACTTGGGCATTCTAGTAGAGTAATACTATAGAGAGTTGGCGCTGGTAACCTAAAGTCTGTGCCCTTCTAGCAGTTCAAATCCATTAGCTACTCCATATACAAAAGATAATCACTTCCCATGCACTTTATAGGCTTAATGAGTATATAGTTTTCTGTGTGAGATGCTGAAATATTTTGGAAGTAAATAGTGATGATTGTACAACACTGTGAATATAATTAATAGCACCTAATTTTATGCTTAAAAATGGATAAAATGTCAAATTTTATCATATATATAAAATACAGACATACAGAAGACCATTAAAGATACTCTACAGTGTTAGGCTTTAGGGAAGGACAGCGAAGGAGAGGAAGACCATTAGCCAAGTGGACTGACATTGACTGCAGCAATGGGCTCGAGTGTTAAGAGATTGTGAGGATGGCACATGACAAGACAGGGTTCAGATCTGTTGTTCAGAGAGAGTCACTGTGAGTCATACTCGACTCAACAGCACCTAGCAACAATAGTCTTTAAATAAGTAAAAGTATTAGCTTAAAAAAATTAGCTAGGCAGAATAGTATTTGTTTTGACTCCTACTCAAAACAAAATGAAAAGTTTATGTGTCGTAGTATTGGACAATTTCTCTGTATATTTCTTTTTGTTTCCTGGGATGGTTTTTGGATGTCAGTTATCAGAACTTCATCCTCGTCATTTTCTACCTATTATTTTTCATTTTAGGGAAAAGAAACAGCTGTTCTGATTTTTACTATCCAGTTTTACTTATCTATACAAAGAAAATGTGTTGTAGAGTATAAACATTATATGCATATTAATGTATATGTGGTTTTTCTTTTTAAATTAAAATTGGCTAGATGAAATATATGTACTAAGAAAGGCTTTTATAAAGGGATTGGGTACCTGTGTAAGGAGACCTGATGGTAATGGTGCATTACAAATTGGAATGCTAACTGAAAGGTCAGTGGTTCAAATGCAGTAGCCCACACCAAGGGAGAAAAATAGGAATTCTCCTCCTGTAGACAGAGGGATTGGAGGGAAACTAAGAGAAGAGGGGATAAATAATGTACATGGCATTGAAATGGACAAGGGAGAGAACTGTATAAAAAGAATATATGATTAGGTATTATTGGTGTGACAAGAGTCCAGAATAAGAGCTGCATAGTAAATTGGTTTGTGGGAGGGACAGGATAAAAATGAAAGAACTTTTTTCTAAAGAGAAAACAAACTGAGGGGGAGGGAGACATGGAAGAAAATGTGCAACAATGAATGAATGGCAATCCAAGTTCTTTATAAACTTAAAATCTCAACTGTTGTTATGTGTCATCGAGTCGCTTGCGACTTATAGTGACCTTATGCACAAGAGCTCTAAACCCTGCTATATCCTGTGCCAACCTCAATGTTTCTGACACACTCTCTTCCACTGCTCCTGTCACTGAAATGGTCCATCTCATTGAGGGTCTGCCTCTCCTGCACTGTCCCTCCACTCTCCCAAACATGATGTCCCTCTCCAGGGACTGGTCCCTCCTTGTAACATGCCCGAAGTATGTCAGACGAAGCTTCAGAATCCTTGACTCCAAGGAGCATCCTGGTTTCACTCTCTCCAGGACAAACCTGTTTGTTCTTCTAGCAGTCCATGGTATATTCAACACTCTTCTCCGGCACCACAGCTCAAAGTCATCAATTCTCTTTCTTCATCCCAGGTCACTGTTCAACTCTCTGATGTTTACCACACAATTGCAAAGACTATAGCCAGGATCAGGTGCACTTTAGTAAATAAAAAAAAGAAAAAAATATTTAGAGTTTTGGTAACCTGATGAAGAAGAGATGGTAGGGGTTGAAATGAGTTTGATGGTAGGTACTCTGTGTGGTTTCTTGGTTTTGAGCAACTACGTTAATAATTTTTATACATTAAAGCAGTTGGAGCTATAGCTATCAATCTCAAGTGCTAGATAAGATAAACACAAAGTACTTTTTTTTTTAATGAAAGTTTATAAAGAACTTGGATTTCCATTCATTCATTGTTGCACATTTTCCTCCCTGTCCCCTCTTTCCCCAGTTTGCCTTTTTTTTGGGGGAAAAAAAAAAAATTATTACACAGTCCCCCGCAACCCCCCACCCTGGACCACTTTGTAACTTATCCTGGACTCTTGTTATGCCAATAATACCCAATCATATGTTGCTTTTATACAGTTATCTCCCTCGTCTGTTTCAATGCCATGTGTATTATTTATCCTCTCTTTTCCTAGTTTTCCCCCAATCCCCATATCAGTCCTATAACAGTTGGCATAATGTAGTATTTATTCTTTTGTGGCTGAGATATTTCACTCAGCATAACGTTATCCATGGTCACCCATTTTGTATAATCATGAATTCCTTGTTTTTCAATACAGTGTAGTATTCCACTGTGTGAATATACCACAGTTTATCCATTTGTTTGTTGATGGGCACCTGAGCTGTTTCCAAGTATTTGCTATTGTGAACAAAGCTGCAATAAACATGGGTGTGCATATATTTGCTTGTGTGGCAGTTATGGTTTCTTTAGGGTTTATTCCCAGTAGTGGAATTTCTGGGTCAAATGGTATTTCCATTTCCAACTTTTCTATTTTATGCTCACTTGCAGAACATGAAGTATAAACTTAAGAAAAGGGAAAGAAATATCTTTTAAGAACTGAGTAATTTGGAGATGCTTGTAGCTCTTGAAGGAATCTTTGGTTGTATCATCCATAAAAGTGCTGTACTGATAACAAAAAGGCTATATGTTGCAGTGGTTTGAATCAGCCAGTGGCTTTGAGAGAGAAAGATGACCAGTCCCCTCCTGTTAAGATTTACAGCCTTGAAATCCAATAGAGGGTGACATATAGGTCAGAGTGGACTCAGTGGCAGTAAGCATTTGTTTTATCTCAGTCTTTGGATGTTTGAGTATACAATTATTAAAGTTGTTTTGAATTACTCATTTCATGTGTATAATTATATTCTTATATTATGTGATAAATTATTCATATTTAAATTTCTGCCATTAAATAGGTGTTTTGCCAACTCCCATTACTCAACAAGCTGGCTTGACACCTTTGGCCCAGGGACCTGGAACCACATCAGCCATTACTTTTCCAGAGGAACAGGAAGATCCTAGAATTGTTAGAGGTCAGGATGAAGCATCTACAGGTGGAATCTGGGGTTTCATTAAGGTAATTACTTTAAAAATTATGTCAGGGTTTGTTTGGGTTTTTTTTATTTTAAAGGTAAAAGGTGTTTATTAGTGAAAATTTTGAAATGCAGAATTAAGAAAAAAATTATCTTTGTTATTCTTAATAGTTTTTTATATTCCTCAGTCTTTTGTCTGTTCCTTATTGTGTAAGTTTGCCTCTGTTTTAAATAAAAATGAAATTGAACTAGTGACTATTGATACACGGTCACTGTCTTGTGTTTTTTGTTTGTTGTTACCTAGCATGATATCATGAACATCTTTTAGCCATAAAATAATTCTTTAAATGTGATTTCATTGGTTTTTATGTCTGTTTTTGCTTACACACTATTTCATGTAGTTCTTTTGTTTTTCTTGTACCGTGTTTGCTATTGGTGTTTTCTAATTATAGCTTTTACCAGTAAAACTGTGATAAACACTCTTATATGCAGGTATTTGTGAATCTTTTGTTTACTCAGGATTAATTCTTTATAAAGTTCAGAAGGTGAAAATTTTCAAAACTTTTACTACAGTATACTATGATAGCAATTTCTTTCTTATTCCCAAAGATGTTAATCAATTTTATATTGTTAGGTACTGTCAAGTCAGTTCAGATTCATTGTGATTGTGTATGTGACAGAATGAACAATTGCTAGGTTTGTACCACCATCATGATAGATGATTGCTATATTTGAGCTCATTTTTGCAGACTTTATCTTAAGACTCTTTAAGAGTCTTCTTCTTTTGTTAACTTTACCAAGTGTGGTGTTAATTTCCTGAGATTGGTCCTGGTTAATAATATAAAAATGAGTAAAGAAGACTGAAGAAGAGGTGATTCCTTTAAATTATTGAGAGCTCACTGTCCTAATGGTAAGAAACTGGACTGCAGTTCCAAAGACATATAGTCAAATCCACCAGCTGTTGTATAGAAGGATGGACAGTCTTCTCCTTTGTGCTTTATTGCCTCTGTAAACTCGCTGAACGGTCAACTATAGGTCAGTTCAGACCCTGCAGCACATAATAGCAATAATTGAGTGTATATGGACTACTAAAACAACAAATGAACATATATTGGAAGAAGTGGAGCTACAATTCTCCTTAGAAGGAGGATGGTGAGACTTTGTTTTCATACGTTGTGCATGATGTGGTGTTAGAGTATTGGATATCCCATGGACTGCCAAAAGAAAAACATGTCTTGGAGAAGGTACATCCCGAGTGCTCGTTAGAGGCAAGAATGGTAAAGCTTCTTCTCAAATACTTTGAACATCTTGCTAGGAGAGGCTATTCCTTGGAAAAGGATATCATACTTGGAAAAGTGGAAGGTTGGCGAAAGAGAGGGCAGCCGTCAATGAGATAGATTGACATAGTGACTGCAGCAATGGACTCCTGTGTGTTAGAGATGATGAGAATGACACAAGAAAAGACAAGAGTTCAGATCCAGTTCATAAGGTCACTATGAGTCACACTCAACTCTGTGACCCCCCTAAAAACAGCAGCTGTCTGGTGATCTAGTGGATAAGGAGTTGTATTGCCAACCTAAAGGCAGCAGGTGAATCCACCAGCTGTTCTGCAGGAGAAAGAAGATGATCTCCTGCCATGCAATTTACAACCTCTGAAAACCCACTGAAGGATTGCTTGTGAGTCAGTTCTGACTCACAGCCTTTGAGTTTTGTTTTTTTATTTTTTTTAGTCACTGGAAAAAGACATCATGCATGGTAAATAGAAGGTCAGTAAAAAAGAGAAAAACACTCAAGGAGGTGGATTGACACTGACTGTGGCTGCAACCATGGACTCAGAACAGCAGAGATTTTTGAGAATGACCCAGGTTTGGGCAGTATTTCATTGTCATACATAGGTGACTGAATTGGAGCGACTTGACAGCACCTAGCAAATAATAACATGCTCAAAGTAAGTAAGACAAAATCTCTCCATCCTCACTTCCAGGAAGTAGTCTGTTTGTACTTCTTTAAGACAGATTTGATTCTTCTGAGAGTCCGAAGCAAAAAAAAAAAATGCAGCTTGTATTTATCTAGTCATTTTTTTTTCCTTTATGCAGGGTGTTGCTGGGAATCCTATGGTGAAATCTGTGCTTGATAAAACCAAACATTCAGTAGAAAGCATGATCACAACGCTGGATCCTGGCATGGCTCCTTATATCAGTATGTACTTCTATTAGACAATATCTACAGGATTTTTTTTCCATCAAAGTATGTGTCATTGTCATTGTCAGTTACTCATTGTAAATTTCTGTTCATTTTCATAGCCTCCCATGTTTTTACATTTAGTTGATTGTCTTATTTTGTTGGTATACTAGTCATCTCAGTCATCATTAACTAGATTGCAAAAATGCTGCAGAATGATCCTCAGAGAAGTAAATAATAAAAGATATGAATTATTAATTACTGATTCTAATTGTAATTAGTTTATCACTGCTTTATATGAAATTTACTTTATTCTCTGTTCCCATATGAAATGACACTTTGTTGATATTTGATTTTAATAGTTTTCCAGTTAACTGTTTTAAATTAATGCGCTTAAGCTTAATTCAGGAATACTAATTTTAGAGGGATTAATCTACTTACTAGTTAACTTGAAAAAGACTTGACACATTTACTGCAGATCAAAGATCGCAGCCTTCAATATAGATCACTTTTCACTATAAGGAAAACAAAAATCCTTACTTCTAAACCAGTCGTGATAGATGGAGAAATGATTAAAGTTGTCACTGATTTAATTTTGCTTGGATTCACAATCTACTGTGATAGTAGCAGCAGTCAAAGAAATAAAAAGACCCAAGTGGGGAAGGGATGAGAGCCTAGAGTAAAGATAGGTAAGGGAAAAATCACAGGTTTGCACAATTTGGTGGGTTGAGGGAGGGAGTAAAGGAAATGGGATATATGCAGTGGGGACCTGAGAAGATAGGACAGTGGTGGGCATAGTGCAGTGTTGATTAATTTTATAAAACATAATGAATGGAAATGATTGTATGAAACACAATGTGAATGAAGATAGTACAAAACATGATGTATACAAACTTTGTAAGCAAACCAATATAAAATAAAAATTAGAAAGACATGTTGCATTGGGAAGATCTTCTGTTAAGGACCTCTTTAAACTGCTAAAGAGCAATGATGTCAGTTTAAAGACTAAGATAGACTTGATCCAAATCATAGTATTTTCATTTTCTACATATGCACCTGAAAGTTGGATAATAAATAAGGAAGAGTGAAGAAGAATTGATGCTTTTGAATTGTGGTGTTGATAAAGGGTGCTGAACATATCATGGACTGTCTCAAGAACAAACAAATCTTGATTTGGAGGGAGTGCAACTAGAGTACTTGTAGGAGGCAAAGATGGTGAAGTTTGATCTTATACTTTGGGCGCATTGTCAGGAGGGGCAATCTTTGAAAAAAGACATCATGCTGAGAAAGGTGGAATGTCAGAGAAAACAAAACCCTCAATAAGGTGGATTGACAACAGCGCCTGTGACATGGACAAAAAGGAGATTGTGAAGATGGCCTAGGAGAGGGCACGATTCAGATCTGTTGTTGGTAGGTCACAATGAGCCATGGTTATTTCATTGGTACCTAACAACAGCATCAACAGTGTTCAGTGGGTTTAATAAAGCATCTTCTCAACAGATGATGGAGAAATAATGTATGCTTTTTTATTTTTATGAACCTATTGCATAGGCCCATTACTTGCATCTCTTCAGAAGTAATTTATTTTTATAGCTTTTTGGTTTCATATCAGATATTTTCACTACTGAGACTTTGGATGTGAAAAGGACCAAGATGGGAAAAGGCTAAAACATGGCAAAAACCTTATGCACATGCCTTTTCCTCTCACAGAACTGGAGGGGAACAACTAATTATCACAGTTGTGTTTGTAGTGTTATATTTTGCATGGCTTAAAATTGAGAAGTGGTGTATCAGGGTTATATTCTCCCATACCTATTCACTCTGTATGCTGAGCAAATTATCTGAGAAGCTGGACTCTGTGAGGAAGAGTGTGGCATTAGGATTGGAAGGAGACTCATCAATAACTTGGTTATGCAGATGACACAACCTTACTTGCTGAAAGTGAGGAGGACTTGAAGTACTTGTTACAGAGGATCAAGGAATGCAGCCTTTGGTATGGATTGCATCTTAATGTCAAGAAGATAAAGATTCTTACCACTGGATGGACAACAGGTAGTGTCATATGGATGGAGAAGAGGTTGAAACTATAACAGCTTCATCTTGGGTATACAATTAGCACACTTGGTAATGATTGCTCTGGGAAAATCTGCAGTTAGGGATGTCTCCAAATTATTTAGAAGTAATGATGTCAGTTTGAGGACTAAGGTGCATCTTATTCAGGCCATAGTCATTTCAGTTACTTGCTGTGCATCTGAGAGCTGGACAGTGAATAAGGATGACGGAAAAAGAATTGATACCTTTGAGCTGTACTGTTAGAGAAGATCACTGAACATCAAGAGAATGAACAATTATTTCTTGAAGAGGATGCTGCCAGAATATTCTTTGGAGCCCACACATACTTTGTGTATGTTGCTAGGAGGGGCTATTCATTGAAGGACATGATGCTGGGAAGGGTAGAAGGTTGGTGAAGGAGAGGAAAGACCTTCAACGAGGTGGATTGACATGGTGACTGCTGCAGTGGACTCTTGTGTGTCAGAAAAGTGTGAGGATGACACAAGATAGAACAAGTTTCAGATCTTTTTTTGTTCATAGGGGCACTATGAGTCATGCTCGACTCGCTGGCACCTAACAACAACAACAATACAATATGTTGGGGGAAAAACAACATGTTGGGTTTACTTTTGTGTTATTAAGGTGGAGACTCATCTCACATTTGTGACGGACTTAGCCCTTTGATTATTTTTAAGCCCAACATCAGTAAGGAATACTTAGGGAGGGAAAAGGAAAAATATCCATGATATGTTCTGTTTTAGAGAGCTAACACAGCTATCCTCGAGTATAACATTTCACAAGTTGTGGCTCCAACAACTTAATAACATTATCTTAATGCCTGAGCAAGGAATGATCCCACGTGCTGCAAGAAACCCAGACTCAATTTGATTGAGTTCCTTTTTTACTGTCTTTGAAATAAAGGTGAATATAAGACTAGCTATTTTCTAATTTTCACTGACAGAAGGATTAGGGCCAGCATCTTAAAATCATTCATTTACTGAGTGTAACCTTCTTACAGTGGTGTAAGTAGAAGTAGCTGGGAAAGAGCAAGAGTTTTCAGGGAATTTATGAGTAAGGAGGACTGAAAAAGAATGATGCCTTTCTTATGGTATGGACGAAGAAAAAGGTATCGAGTGCATGTCTGTAGAAGGTGATTTACAGAATCAGGATTTTTTGTTGGTTGTAAAAATTTAATAGCATTCACTAATCTTGCCTATGTTGATAGTTGTTGATGGTAAGTGCCATTTAGTAAATGTTTACTTATCCGGCACTATTTAATTGTCACAAGCACTCTGTAAGATAGGTGTTACTTTCCTTATTTGGATGAAGACTCTAGATAACAAAGTTTGATGGGATTAGATTGAATCCATGTATATTTCTTTTATAGTTTTGTCATCTTGAAATAGAAAATCAACACAATTATTTTTTGTGTTCTTACCTATCCCAAAGGATTCCGAAATTGGACTTTATCATGTGTTGATATAATTTAGTTATAAGTTTGATATAGTTAACAAATACATCATAGGATTTTCTTAGTAAGTATAAAATTTTAATAAATAAAGAAACCCAATGAAAATTTATGGAACTCTTTGCTTTAATAGGTGCTGCCCAACACCTAACACTTTCAGAGTGTTAGACTTTCAGAGCACTTATTTAATCTTTAGAGCCAGCTGTATGAGGAGAGAGGTATTTTATAACAAGCTTAGTGACTTCCCAAGGTAACAGTACTGGTAAATGATAAATCCAGGATTCAGACTCAAGCCAGAGTGCTTTTCACGTTTGTAGTCTCTCACAGAATTAGTTAAAAAACATTAAAACCTGACAAAAATACTAAGAAATGAGATTTATTTTATTAACAAATACTAATTTATAATAGCATATAGTCTTAATAAGTTTGAAAATAAAGCAAGTGGACAGGTAGTAAAAGCTGCCATGTGACCTAATTAAAGAGTTTAACATGATTATTTGATCTAACTAGAGCTTAAAAATATTTTTGCACAAAAACAAATTTCTTGATTTATTAGTCTCAAACATATCAAGAGTGAACAAGAACTATTCAGGGTAGATTTATCACAGGTTTACCTTTTTAAAATCAATTTTCACCTACTTTCATGAGGTTAATACTTATATGAAATATTAACATTTAGTATGACAGTTTGATCATTATTTAAATTTGGAATTAAAAGTTTCTTCTGGTCTTCATAGAATCTGGAGGTGAACTGGATATTGTTGTGACCTCAAATAAGGAGGTCAAAGTGGCTGCTGTTCGAGATGCCTTCCAGGAGGTGTTTGGCTTAGCTGTGGTGGTTGGGGAAGCTGGACAGTCCAATATTGCCCCACAACCAGTGGGCTATGCAGCTGGATTAAAAGTGAGTCATAGAACACTTTTTAAAATTTTTTCTTAATTTTAATTTATTATTTTTTGTGTGTGTACTGTCAAATAGATCTGACAGGTAAAGGAGGATATTGCCCCTTCTCCAGCAGAGCATCTGGTGGATTCAAACTGTGTACCTCTGGAATTGTTGCAGTGCAGCTTCTTGCCACTAGGTCACCAGAGCTCCCTTTGAATGTTGTTGTTGTTGTTATGTGCTGTCGAGTCGTTTGCGACTCATAGCGACCCTATGTACAACAGCCCTAAACCCTGCTCTGTCCTGTGCCAATCGCATTGCCTCTGACACGCCCATCCCGATTACCCCAGTCACTGAATCAGTCCACTTCATAGAGGGTCTTCCCCCCCTGCGCTGTCCCTCTACTCTACCCAGCATGATGTCCCTCTCCAAAGACCTGTCTCTCCTTGCAACATGTCCAAAGTATGTCAGACGAAGCCCCAGAATCCTTGCCTCCAAGGAGTAGCCTGGTTTAGCCCTCTCTAGGATGAATCTATTTGTTTTCTTGGCATTCCATGGTACATTCAGTACTCTTCTCCAGCACCACAGCTCAAAGGCGTCAGTTCTCCTTCTGTCCTCCCTAGTCATTGTCCAGCTCTCTGATGCATAACAAGTGATTGCAAAAACCAAAAACGAAAGAGACACCGTTGCTCTTGAGTACTTTAGAGAGGTCCCTAACAGCAGACTTTCCCATCGCGATATGCTTTTTGATTTCCTGGCTGCTGGTGCCAAGAGTGTTGACTATGGAGCTGAGCAACCTGAAGCTGTGAACAATCTCAATCTCTTCTCCATCCATCCTGATGCTACCAGTTGGTCCAGTGGTGAGAATCTTTGTCTTCTTGACGTTGAGCCTTAGTCCATACTGAAGGCTGAAGTCCTTGACCCTTTTTTTTTAAGATTTGAGGAATTAGCAATTTATATTTTCCCATAATTTTATTAATCTGTTTATTATGTGGATTTAATATGATTTTACATTCTTAAGTAATGATCCACTTTGTTCAAAAATTCTAGTATTACTGATGATGTTACTGTTTTGTGCTGTCAAGTCAAAACTGGCTTATTGCTGACCATTCGTGTGTTTTCAAAGCCAGTAAATTGCAGGTGAGGGGATTGCCCATCCTTCTGCAAAGCAGCTGGTAGATTCAAACCACATGCCTTTTGCATTGCAGCACAGATTCTTACCACTAAAGGAAACCTAAAACAGATTTTGATTGCTTTGCACACAATAGGTATGTTATTTTTAGGTAACCATCAAGTCTAGTACGACTCATAGCGACCTTATGAACAAAACATCTGAAACTTGTTCTATACTGTGCCATCCGCAAACATCCTGACCCACAGAAGCCCATTATCATTTTCACTGGTGAGGGTCTTCTTCTCCTTTGCGAACCCTCCTCCCCAGCATCATGTCTCTCTCCAAAGAATAGCCCCTATTAGCAAAAGCATTCCAGCTATATCCTCTCCAAGACATAACTATTCTCTTGGCCATCCATGGGATGTTCAGTGTTCTTCTCCGACACCACAGTTCAAAGGCATCAGTTTTTTTCTGTCATCCTTATTTATTGCCAAGCTCTCAGATGCATAGCAAGTAATTGGAAAGACCATGGCCTGAATCAGATACATCTGAGTCCTCAAACTGACGACATTACTCCTCAGTAACTGCACATTTCCCCAGTCCAGTGCATCTCCTTATTTCCTGACTGCTTATACCAAGGTGTTAATTTTGGATGCAAGATGAAGCTGTTGACAGTTTTAGTCTCCTCTCCATCCATCATTATGCTCCCTATTGGTCCAATGGTAAGAATCTTTGTTTTCTTGACATTGAAATGCAGTCCCTACCAAAGGCTGCATTCCTTGATCTTCTGCAGAAGTGCTTCATGTCCTCCTCACTTTAAGCAAGCAAGGTTGTGTTAGTTCCATAATGCAGGTTCTTGAAGAGTCTCCCTCCAATCCCGATGCCACACTCCTCTTCATAGAATCTAGCTTCTTGGTTAAATAATTTGCTCAGCATACAGATTAAGTAGGTATGGAGAGAGAATACAGTCCTGACACACTCCCTTCCCAGATCCAAACCATGCAGTGCTCTCCTGCTCTGTTTGCACAACAGCCTCCTGGTCCAGTTATAGGTTCTGCATGAGCACAGGTATGGAGAAAGAATTTCTATCCTTGTACTCTGACACACACTTTTCTTAATTTTAAATCATGCAGTGCTCCCTCGCTCTCTTTGGCCAGGACCTACATACATACTTCATATGAACATAATTAAGTTTTCAGGATTCCTATTCTTCTCAGTATAACCATAATCTGTATGATCAGCAAGTCATTCAAGAAGCTAGATTCTGTGAAGAAGAATCAGGATCAGAGGAAGACTCATCCATAATGTGCATTATATAGATGATACCACCTTGCTTTTCCAAAGTGTGGAGGACTTGAAGTGCTTTCTGCAGAAGATCAGGCTTGCTGCAGAAGATAAGAGACATTAATAGGGATTACATCTCAACGTCAAGAAAACAAAAACCCTCACCATTGGACCAGTAAACAGCATTGTGGAAAATGGAGAAAAGATTGAAATTGTCAATGATTTTATCTTACTTGAGTCCATAATCAACACCCTTGATACTAGCAGTTAGTAAATGTATTGCAATAGGAAAGTTTGATATCTGGAACCTTTTCAGATTACTGGGGAGCAATGATACCATTTTGAAGACTAAGGAAAGCTTGTTTTAGACCATGGTGTTTTCAATCATTAGACATCTGAGAGTTGGAAAGTGAACAAAGATGATGGAAGAATTGATGCCTTTGAGTTATGGTGTAAGAGAAGAGTACTGAATATCCCCTGGGCTATCAAAAGAATAAACAGATATGTCATGGCGAAATTATAGCCACAGCGCTCCTTAGAGGCAAGGATGGCAAAGCTTCATCTCACATACTTTGGGCATGTTGTTAGGAAGGGCCATTCTTTGGAAAGGGACATCAGAGGAACACCATTAATAAGATGGACTAATTTAATGACTGCTGCAGTGAAGTAAAGTCAGCTTCTAGAATGATTTTGTGCAGCATACAGATTGAATAGTTATGGAGAAAGAACCTGACACACCTTTCTTGATTTTAAACCATGTAGCTTCAGACCTTTTGTTTAGGGTCACTATGAGTCATGCACAACTTGAAGGCAGTCAACAATAGCAACAACAGTGTTGTGTTCCCTTACTCTGTTCTGACAGTAACTTCTTGGTCTAGGTGTAAGTTTCATATAAGAATAATTAAATGCTCTAAGATAACATTCTTCCCAGTGTTAGCCATAGTTAGTAATGATCCACACAGTCAAATGCCTTTATGTAGTCCATAAAACACATATAGACATTCTTCTCGTATTCTCTGCTTTAAACCAGGAGGCATCTAACATCAATATCGATACCGCTAGGACCTCAGCCTTTTCTTAAACCCAGCTTGAGTTTCTGGCAGTTCTTTGTCAAGAGCTGTTCTAGTTGTTTTTGAATGATCTTAAGCAATATTTTGCTTACATGTGATAGTAATGATACTTTTTGCTGATTCCTACATTCTACTCAGTCACTTTTCATAGGAATGAAAACATTTATCTCTTCCAGTCAGTTAGCCAGGTATCAGAGTGCTTGTTAGAGGCAGAAATGGCAAACCTTTGTCTCACATACTTTGGGCATGTTGCCAAAGTCCATGTAAAGGGACATCATACTTGGAAAGGTGGAGGGTTAATTGAAGAGAGGAAGACCCTTTCTAAGATGGATTGACATAGTGACTGCAGCAATGTACTTGAGTCTTTCAGAGATGATGAGAAATGGCACAGAATAGGCCAGGGTTCAAAGTTATCGTTTGTAAGGTTGCTGTTTATTAGGCACCTAAAGATAATACATAATTGTACTCCTTTTCTTCTTTTGTATCCATCATCATTGATAGCCATTCTGTCTTTCCTGTTTTCTTTACCTTCAGTACATATCCAGAATCTCTTACTATCTTGGTTGAAATCTTGATGTCTTGCCAGAGTTCTGCAGTTACTTCCTGGGTGACTGTCCAAATTTTGTTTACCCATTTAACCCTGTAGATTGTTTTCAACACAGCAATCAGGGTAATCCTGACTATCCTGTTATATTACTCTTCATTCCAACACTTGTGTTTCACTCAGTGTGAAAATCAAATTCCTTACGGAGCCGTACATGATTTAGTCAATCTGACCTTTACTACTATTTTGATTTTTATCTCCTATGCAGCTCTGGTGACTTAGTGGTAAGGAGTTGAGCTGCCAACACACAGGCAAGCAGTTCAAATCCACCAGCTGCTCTGTGGAGGAAAGATGGATAGTCTCCTCCTATGCGATTTCCAGTCTCTGAAAACCTGTTGGAAAGGTAGCTACGAGTCTGTCCCAGCTCAGCAGCTCGTAACAACAACTATGCCCTACTAAGGAGCTCTAATAGCATAGTCTGTAAACCAAAGACCATGCTTCTCTGGTGGTTTCAGTCTGCAGCACTCATTGGGGAAAGTTTGGACAGTCTTGTTTTGTGCAATTTGCAGCTTCAAAAACTCGATGGAGGTTCAGCTATGTGTCAGAACTAATTTGTCAGTGCTAAATAAGCCTGCTAATAGTCTTCCCTTGGGGGGAGCTCTGGTGATGTAGTTCCTAGAGTTATACTGCTTATCCAAAGGCTGCTTATCTCGTGGTTCAAATCCACCAGCAGTTACACAGAATAAAAATACAGTCTCATTCTGTTGATTTATAGACTTGGAAACCCACTAGAGGGTGGCTGTGTTGGGACTGCCTTGATAGCAGTAACTGAGTTTTTAAATCTTCCCTTTTACTCACCTTTTTGTTGTTGATTGCCCTCCAGTTGAGCATGACTCATAGCAACCCTATGAATAAAAG